CGGCTTGTTTTGTCTCGAAATATTACTCATCCGGTTTATATATATATATATATATATTAAGCAGTATTTTTAAAAAATCTAATTGACTGCAAGACTACAAAGATTTATAATCAATTAAATTATTGATTAAGAAAATAAAATAAAAATTATTAAATTAGATTCAAATGATGTTTTAATATAAATAATAATTTTTAAATTTTGCTCAAATCTTTATTGTCTTATTGCTACATGATTATGGTTGTTAAAATGACTCTTTGGTCGTGAAAAGCTCGTGTTCGACTAGTTAAGTAAACGAGCCGAACACGAGCACACTTTTTGAGCTCAAAATATAAATGAGCCGAACACACACTCGTGTTCGGACCGTTTACACCCTTAGTCCATAGCAGCTACATATATATATATATATATATATATATATATAACTCTACATCAAAGAATTTCATCCCCTTAAAACTTTAGCCAACTCCAGCGTTGCCACATTTGTTTGAGGGTCTCACAAAATCAAGCCCAAACAAATAGCACATCGACAGAGAAAGAGAGCTACTGAAAAAAATGTGCAAAACTCATTTTACAATAACTTACTTTCTTGATGCATCAAATCAACCCCAAATAATCATTTCACTGCATCTTATGAAAAAAAAAAAAAAAATTCTAAAGCTTTAACACCTCAAAAATCTTGAATGACAAGGAAAGAATCAGTATGAATCAGTTGTTTCACTTAAAAAATATACGATAGTATTGACTAGATCAATTTTCTATTGCACTTAGATTTGACTAAATGGATCTCTGAAACAAGATACAATAGAAATAGAAACAGGAGAAATTATTACATACAGAGCGCGTACGCAGAACTACATGATGACTCCAGTAATATAATGTCACGAGGAGATTATTGGAGGCTATTATGGGGTTATTGAAGTGAAACCGTGAAAATTATTGAGGGGTTTTTAGGAAATTATTATGAAGTTATTGCGGGTGTTTATGCATGGGGATATTGAAGTGTAACCGCGGTGGTTATTGGAAGGTTATGGGAGGTTTATTGAAGTGGAACTGCGAAGATTTTTGGGGATTATTGAGATGTTACTGCAGTGTTATTGGAGTTAATGCTCCAATAACTTTCTAATAACCCTCCCAATAACATTTGCGGTTCCACTCCAATAAAACTGCGGAGGTTATTAGGGGATTATTGAGATGTTACTGTAGTGTTATTGGAGTTAATGCTCCAATAACCCTCCCAATAACATTTGTGGTTCCACCCCAATAAGCTTTACGGTTTCACTTTAATATTTTTGTTAGGTGGGCCCGATATAGCACACATGGCGGCATATTACTGGAATCCGCATGTAATTCTTCGTACGTGCTCCGTATGTAATAATTTCTCCAAAAATAGGGAGTGATTTTTGGAAGTGAAATGATGCTCACCTGCTTATCCTCTTCAACAACTTTATCCTCTCAAACTCTTGAACAGCGTAGCCCTTCTCTACCTCCCATGCAAGATGAAACATGGAATTTAAAGAAGATTTTAAGCTTTTTTCATCCGAAACTTCTCTCGGAAAAGGAACCCGGCAGGTAAAATTCCCTTCTTCAGAGTATATGTGCAGGTCAAAACCTAACCGATCAACCCATATCAGCTTGGCATCAGTTACCTGCACGACCAAGCCCAAGAAAATAAATATGTAAATTTCATGATCAGAATTATAATTTTCATATAGATAACAACTAATTGATTAGCTTTCTCACATAAATAAGTTGCCCAATAAATGTTACAGAAAAATTTTGATTTGTCAAAGTCAATCATTAAAATTTTTATTAAAACAGGTTCTACTAGATTATTTGGAGACCTTCATATGTGAGCATATTTTTCCAACAACATATTGAATTCGGCATTTTTAAGTATGTTTACTAGTTTAGGAAAAAATATTACATCAGTACTATGCACATAGAGTAATGTGCGTAGCTAATGAAATCAAGCCACAACACCCCACGCGACAGGAAAAAAAAACGGAGTGGTAATACGAGGAATATTCTCCTCGTGTTATTCATGTGTTATTGTGCGTTATTCAGGTGTTATTGTATTCTGAGAATATTTTCGGTGTTATAATAACACAATAACACATCATAAACACATGAATAACACACAATAACACATGAATAATACGGCGAGAATATTCTCCGACGGCGCGGTAACACGGAGAATATTCTTGCCGTATTATTCATGTGTTATTGTGTGTTATTCATGTGTTTATGATGTGTTATTGTGTTATTATAACACCAGGAATATTTTCAGGACACAATAGCACATGAATAACAAACAATAACACATGAATAACACGAGGGGGGAATATTCTCGGTGTTACCGCGCCGTTTTTTTTTCTGTCGCGTGGGATGTCGTAGAGTGATTTCATTGGCTACGCACATTACTCCATGTGCGTAGTACTGATGTAATATTTTTCCTTAGTTTAGTTGTATTCTTTTTGGATTTGATTTTTTTTTTTCTGTAGTTTTTATTCTCATTAGGTGTTGTTCTACTTCATTGCTAGGTATTTGCTTAAAATTTTACTGTCTGTTGTTTTTTTAATGCTAGTAGATATTATGTATAACTACTTATGGATGAACTTTCTCTTGTAAGTACAAAAAAATAATTTATATTTTTCATCATATCCCGACTGTCGGGTGTATAGCCTTTTAGACGCGGGGCATACGATATGGGAAAATACAATATACTTCAAAAAACCCCAAAATAAAAAACCATAGAGGCCACAATGCTAGGAAAATGAAAGAACTCTGAAGTATAGAAGGAAAACAATGCCATCCAAGAACAAGATCGTTTTGGAAGAGGGAGTTGATATGTGAAGGGGATAAATCCAATGTACATTGAGAAGTTCAATAATAAAAATGTAGGAATACTAGCAGTAAGAAGTAAAAAAATAAAATTATTGAGGTAAATAATAGTAATAATAAATTAATTAATATTAAGTTCACTATTGATGGGGCTATTGTAAACTTTATTAATTTTTGTTCTTTTCAAGTTGGATTGGAAAATAATTTAAAATATAAATTTTAGAAAATAACACTAGAATAAACATGAGAGAATAAATATTGTTGGGCAATGTAGAAACCCGGTCTACCGTAATTTAATTAGTTTCCTAATTAAGAATGCTCTTTTGGTTTCTATAAATAGTCTTTTTTGGCTTGTCATAAATAAGTCAAGGGGCCAAGCCAAGTCCTCTAAGAGAGAAAGAGAGAAAGAGAGGAAGAAAAAAAAATAGAGATTTTTTTGTAAACGTAGAGGCCCTCCACGCTGTAATTTCTCAAAGAAATAAAATCCTCTGCAGCTCCGTGGACGTAGGCAAATTTGTCGAACCACGTAAATCTGTGTGTGAAAAAAAATAGAGATTTTTTTTTAAACGTAGAGGCGCTCCACGCTGTAATTTCTCAAAGAAATAAAATCCTTTGCAGCTCCATGGACGTAGGCAAATTTGTCGAACCACGTAAATCTGTGTCGCTCTGATATTTTTTTCTTTACGTGCAATTTTTCTCGTTTCAATTTTTCGCTTTATTATAGTCGTTTTTCATAACATAAACAGTACCAGAATGACAGACTTATGCTGGCAAGCCCGTTTGATTTTTTTGGCAAATGAGTTAAGTTTTAGGTTAAACAGGTTCTGGAGGTCATACGATTAACCCTGTCGAGATTGGTTGCCCACAACGTCATCAAGGAAAAGACTAATGCAAATCTCATGATGGTTTTATCAGGTATGTATGAAAAGTCATAGGCGAATAACAATGTGCATCTGATGAAAATGTTATTCAATAGTTATTCAACTTGAAGATTGTGGAAGGTATCTGTTGCTCAACAACTGAATGATTTCAATACTATCACAAATCAATTGTCGTCTGTTGAAATTAATTTTGATGATGAGATACGTGCGTTGATATTGTTAGTTTCATTGTCAAATAGCTAGAAAGCCATGTGAATGACAGTTAGCAGTTCTGCAGGTAAATATAAACTAAAATATGATGATATTTGTGATTTAATTTTGGCTGAGGTACACAAGAAAGATTTTGGCGAGACCTCGGGTTCGAGTTCGACACCGATTGTTGATTACAGAGGGAGATCACAAGAAAAGAACTCAAACAGAGGAAGATCAAAATCAAAGTCAGGCCAGCAGGCAACCTGCTGGAATTGTGGTAAGGCAGACCACATAAAAATGAACTGCAGGAATCCTAAGAAGAAGGAGAATGATGACACTAATGTTGTAACTAAAGAAATACATTGTGCACTATTTCTGGACGTGATGGGGATGAGAGACGTTGATATTGTACTCCCTAACAAGAGACTTTCTTTCATACATCTTCCCGTCGGGAGTTGATGCGAAATTATGTTGCCGGTAACTTTGGGAAGATTTATTTGTCTGATGAAAAATCTTTGGACGTGGTGGGGATGGGATACATTGATATTGCAATCCCTAACAAGAGCAAATGGACTTTGCAAAAGGTTTGACACGTTCCTAAGTTGAAAAAAAACCTCATCTCTGTTGGGTAGCTCAATGAAGGTGGTCATTCAGTGGTGTTCTCAGATAGCACCTGGAAGGTTACCAAAAGAGCATTAATAATGGTTCGGGGTAAGAAAACTGACACACTGTATATGACTACAGGTTTACTCAGACGTGGACACATGAGGGTCACATGAGTTAGAGCTATAAAGAAATCTTGCAAGATGAGAATTCGAGCAAGTAGGAGTTGACCAAGAAAGAGGAGACAGATTCTCTGTCAGAGAGACTTGGGAACAAACAGAACTCAACCAGAAAAGAAGGATTGCACAACAAGTGGGTGTACAAGGTGAAGACTGCGTTTGATGACAATAAGAGGTACACGACTGGACTTGATGAGAAGGGCTTTCAACTGAGGCATAATATTGCTCATGCAGTGAGAGTTGTTAGCAGATACAAGCGTAACCCAGAAAAGAGCTTGGAGGTACAATGCTACATTGAAGGTTATATGTCAACTAAGGGTGTTACTCGTGAGAAACTGAAGTTGTGCTCGACTTCAGCTGGTCTTCTGGCATGAAGATCATGGCTTTAAATTGAGTTGGATTGGAAAATAATTTAAAATATAAATTTTAGAAAATAAAACTAGAATAAACATGAGAGAATAAATATTGTTGGGCAATGTAGAAACCCGGTCTACCGTAATTTAATTAGTTTTCTAATTAAGAATCTCACTTACCGCTGACCTACCACATCTCACCTACCGCTCACCTACCTCCACCTACCGCTCTTTTGGTTTCTATAAATAGTCTTTTTTGGCTTGTCATAAATAAACCAAGGGGCCAAGCCAAGTCCTCTAAGAGAGAAAGAGAGGAAGAGAGAAAAGAAAATAGAGATTTTCTTGTAAACGTCGAGACGCTCGACGGTGTAATTCCTCAAAGAAATAAAATCCTTTGCAGCTTCATGGACGTAGGCAAATTTGTCGAACCACGTAAATATGTGTGTCGCTCTGGTGTTTTTTTTTCTGCGTGCAATTTTTCTCGTTCTATTTTTCGCTTTATTGTCGTCATTTTTCACAACAAAATATTATAGGTAACTTGAAGGGATTTGTTTGCACTAGAAAATATTATGGGAGGGTTGATGGTTGACATGGATATAACAACAACAACAACAAAGCCTTAATCCCACTACGTGAGGTCAACTACATGAATCATTTTTCTCCATTACGTTCTATTTAGTGTCATATTTTCATTTAGTTCTAATAAATTAAGATCATTTTTTATTCAATAAGCCTAAGTCTTACTAGGTCTACCTCTGCCTTTCTTAACATAAGTCAAATCTAAAACATCTACTCTCATAATCGGATCATCAGATGGTAGACGTTTAATGTGATCAAACCATCTAAGATGGCTCTCTCTAATTTTGTCGTCACTGGAGCTACACCAACCCTATCCCGGATATATTCATTTTGCATTTTGTCTCTAAGTGTAAAGTCACTCATCCACCTAATCATTCTCATCTCAGCAACACTTAACTTAGTATTATGTTTCTCTTTTAAAGGCCAAAATTCAGCGCCATAGAGCATTGCAAGTCTCACCACCCTCTTATAAAATTTTTCTTTCAGTCTAAGCGGCACTTTTCTATCACACAAAAGGCCCAAAGCATTCCTCAATTTCAACCAACCAACTTGAATTTTATTATTAACATCCCCATCTATATCACCATCGCTTTGAACAGCAGACCCGAGATATCTAAATCGTTCACACCTTTTAATAATTTGATTACCCAAAGTTACACTTCTGTAAGCTACTACTACCTACTAAAATTACATTCCATGTATTCAGTTTTAGTTCTACTCAAATGAAGGCCTTTAAACTCCAATGTAAACCTCCATAATTCAATTTTTTCCTGGGCTTTTTCACTCGTCTTATCCATGAGAAGGATATCATCAGCAAAAAGCATATACCAAGGTACATCCTCCTGTAAATGTC